TAGTAGTAGTAGTAGTAGTAGTAGTAGTACTTGAGTATCTCTCTCTTGCAGTAGTAGTAGTAGTAGTAGTAGTAGTAGTAGTAGTAGTAGTAGTAGTAGTAGTAGTAGTACTTGAGTATCTCTCTCTTGCAGTAGTAGTAGTAGTAGTAGTAGTAGTAGTAGTAGTAGCAGTAGTAGTAGTAGTAGTAGTAGTAGTAGTAGTAGTACTTTAGTATCTCTCTCTTGCAGTAGTAGTAGTAGTAGTAGTAGTAGTAGTAGTAGTAGTAGTAGTAGTAGTAGTAGTATCTTCTCTTGCAGTAGTAGTAGTAGTAGTAGTAGTAGTAGTAGTAGTAGTAGTAGTAGTAGTAGTAGCTTGAGTATCTCTCTCTTGCAGTATAGTAGTAGTAGTAGTACTAGTAGTAGTAGTAGTAGTAGTAGAGTATCTAGTAGTCTCTTGCAGTAGTAGTAGTAGTAGTAGTAGTAGAGTATCTCTCTCTTGCAGTAGTAGTAGTAGTAGTAGTAGTAGTAGTAGTAGTACTTGAGTATCTCTCTCTTGCAGTAGTAGTAGTAGTAGTAGTAGTAGTAGTAGTAGTAGTAGTAGTAGTAGTAGTGTACTTGAGTATCTGTCTCTTGCAGTAGTAGTAGTAGTAGTAGTAGTAGTAGTACTTGAGTATCTCTCTCTTGCAGTAGTAGTAGTAGTAGTAGTAGTAGTAGTAGTAGTAGTAGTAGTAGTAGTAGTAGTAGTAGTAGTACTTGAGTATCTGTCTCTTGCAGTAGTAGTAAGTAGTAGTAGTAGTATAGTAGTACTAGTAGTAGTAGTAGTAGTAGTAGTAGTAGTAGTACTTGAGTATCTCTCTCTTGCAGTAGTAGTAGTAGTAGTAGTAGTAGTAGTAGTACTTGAGTATCTCTCTCTGCAGTAGTAGTAGTAGTAGTAGTAGTAGTAGTACTTGAGTATCTGTCTCTTGCAGTAAGCTCCACGCCTTCATCTGGGACAGTGCGGTGCTGGAGTTCGAGGCGTCTCAGAAGTGTGACCTGGTGACGACCGGGGAGCTGTTCTTCAGGTCGGGATTCGGGATCGGGATGAGGAAGGACAGTCCCTGGAAACAGAACGTGTCTCTGGCCATTCTCAGGTACAAACACTCTTATGTCTCCATGAAGACAGAAAGGTTTAAAGCCACACTGTGAAACATTCCAGACCAGACCTGGGCCACATACCACCCTTTTGTTTGACTGTGATTGGCTCGTTTAAGCTCATTTGGAATTACAAAAAAAAACCACATATTTATCATTTTACTTCATGGACTAAAGTTGCGTTGCTTTAATTTTAATTTTTTTTGTAACCTCACTTTTTCATTGCTTAGTCAAAACATAAACACTTCCCAGTCTGAGCAGTTCGTCAAAACAATGAGATTTACTGCTTTTTATAAAGAATAAATAAAATTACCGTATTTTTCAGACTATAAGTGGCACTTTTTTTCATGGTTTGTGTGTTTCCTGTGACTTCTATATTAAAATGTTTTTGGTGAAGTGTGGAGAGATTCTAGTCTTGTGTGTGAGTCTCTGCTGCTCCTGTTCCTCCTGCACCACTGTCACTTGGCTCTACTGCGCATGTCTCCTGCAGAAAGAGCCTCTGTTCTGTCTGTATCATGTCAGTCGATCGCACCGTTACTTCTGCACCACTCGACTATTTAACATTTAAACTATAAACTTATAAAGACAAAGACTGAGAAAACTGAACACAAACGCCCCGAAAACAAAATCAGATTCTGCAGATTTACAAACTGCAAGTCATGAAATCTGCAGCAGAAAGAAAGTTTGGAGTGAGAGAGAAACTTGTGACACCAGGAGGATGAACCATGAAACTTTCCTGAAGTCACTTGACGGACAAAGTCTGGACTTCAGTGACACTGAAACCATCCTGTCGAGATTCAGAAAGAGTCCGTGTGTCGTTCGTTCATTCGTTTTTCAATATAAAACCAAAAGTAAGAAAACAAAAAACCAACAGTTTTCTTCATTATTTGTCTCCAAAACCAAAATGAAAAAAAAAAAGATAATGATTTGTATTTTCCGTTTTCGATTTTGTGTTTAAATGAAAAATGGAACCAGGACTAAAACGGGACTAAAACAGGACTGAACTGTTTACGTGATTGCGATGTCGGACTTTTGCACTGCATACGGACTGAACCAGGACTGATCCAGGTCCGGGACCAGAGCGGGGGACCAGAGCGGGACTGAGACCGAGACCAGAACGGGACCAGACCAAGACGATCAGAACTGAGACTGGGACCAGACCGAGACTGAGACCGGGACCAGAGCGGGACTGAGACCGGGACTGAGACCGGGACCAGACCGGGGACCAGACCGGGACTGAGACCAAGACCAGAGCAAGACCAGACCGGGACCAGACCAGAGGCTCAGAGCCCACTGCAGGGCCAGAGCTCGAAGCTGAGGCTCGGACTCAAAGCTCGGAGTCCACTCTGGTCTCGGTCTCAGTCCCGGACTGGTTCCAGTCTGGTCCCGGACCTGGATCAGTCCTGGTTCAGTCCGGTATCACAGTCATTTGAAGTCACGTAAACAGGAAACGGTCATTATCCATTTTTTTCCATTTTTCATTTAAACACAAAATAGAAAACTGAAAAAACGAATCATGATCTGTTTTTTTCATTTTGGTTTTGGAGACAAATAATGAAGAAAATAGTTTTTTGGGTTTTTTTGTTGTGTTATTTTTGGTTTTATTTTGAAAACCGAATGAACGAATGACTCGAATAATTCTAAATGGAACTGATTCTGAGTCTGACGACAGCGACACAGAAGAGTTTGCGTCGCTCTGTTTCCCTCCGGAGGTCGAGTTGTTCAGAAGTGACACCGAGGATGAAGAATTGAAGTGATTTAGTGATTTGGAGTGAGATGGAGAGTTTGTTAAACTTGTTCTGTTCTGTTGTTTATAGTTTATCTGAAGAACTGTGAAATATGTGACAATAACAGTCTGTTGTTTTCTCTTCTATTGTTTTTACTACAACTTGACTTCACACAGGAAATTTCAACCCCTGCAGACTGTTTTAAATTAAATAGTTTTGTTTTTCACGCTTTAAGAAAGTAAAAATCATGTACATCACCTTTAACTCTCTCCAATCTGACCTTCACTCGTCTTTTTTCCTGAGCTTGGTGGGATCTTGTGGTGAGTTCATCCCAGTGGTTTGTGTTTGTGCACAGTTCTCATGAGAACGGCTTCATGGAGGATCTGGACAAGACCTGGGTCCGATATCAGGAGTGTGACTCACGAAGCAACGCCCCCGCCACCCTCACCTTCGAGAACATGGCAGGTCAGTCCCACGCGCACCAAACACCAGCAAAGAAGGTCCTGGTGCAGTCCTGGTTTAGTCCTGGTTCAGTCCTGGTTTAGTCCTGGTTTAGTCTGGTTTAGTCCTGGTCTAGTCCTGGTTTAGTCCTGGTTGAGTCCTGGTTCGGTCCTGGTTGAGTCCTGGTTTAGACCTGATTTAGTCTTAGTTTAGTCCTGGTTTAGTCCTGGTTTAGTCCTGGTCTAGTCCTGGTTTAGTCCTGGTCTAGTCCTGGTCTAGTCCTGAAATGGACCAGATTAGTCCTGGTTGAGTCCTGGTTTGGTCCTGAAATGGACCAGATATAGTCCTGGTTGAGTCCTGGTTGAGTCCTGGTTTAGTCCTGGTTTGGTCCTGGTTTTCGTCCTGATTTAGACCTGGTTTAGACCTGGTTTATCCTGGTTTAGTCCTGGTTTAGTCCTGGTTTAGTCCTGGTTTAGTCTTGGTTTAGTCCTGGTTTAGACCTGGTTTAGACCTGGTTTTCGTCCTGGTTTTAGTCCTGGTTTAGTCCTGGTTTAGTCCTGGTTTGGGTCCTGGTTTAGTCCTGGTTTAGACCTGGTTTAGTCCTGGTTTAGTCCTGGTTTAGTCCTGGTCTAGTCCTGGTTAGTCTTAGTTTAGTCCTGGTCTAGTCCTGGTTTAGTCCTGGTCTAGACCTGGTCCTGGTTTAGTCCTGGTTTAGTCCTGGTCTAGTCCTGGTTTAGTCCTGGTCTAGTCCTGAAATGGACCAGATATAGTCCTGGTTGAGTCCTGGTTTGGTCCTGGTTTGGTCCTGAAATGGACCAGATATAGTCCTGGTTGAGTCCTGGTTCGGTCCTGGTTGAGTCCTGGTTTGGTCCTGGTTTGGTCCTGGTTCGGTCCTGGTTTTCGTCCTGATTTAGACCTGGTTTAGACCTGGTTAATCCTGGTTTAGTCCTGGTTTATTCTTGGTTTAGTCCTGGTTTAGTCCTGGTTTAGTCTTGGTTTAGTCCTGGTTTAGACCTGGTTTAGACCTGGTTTTCGTCCTGGTTTTAGTCCTGGTTTAGTCCTGGTTTAGTCCTGGTTTGGTCCTGGTTTAGTCCTGGTTTAGACCTGGTTTAGTCCTGTTTAGTCCTGGTTTGTCCTGGTTAGTCCTGGTTTAGTCTAGTTTAGTCCTGGTCTAGACCTGGTTTAGTCCTGGTTTAGTCCTGGTTTAGTCCTGGTTTAGTCCTGGTTTAGTCCTGGTTTAGTCCTGGTCTAGTCCTGGTCTAGTCCTGAAATGGACCAGATATAGTCCTGGTTGAGTCCTGGTTTGGTCCTGGTTTGGTCCTGAAATGGACCAGATATAGTCCTGGTTGAGTCCTGGTTCGGTCCTGGTTGAGTCCTGGTTTGGTCCTGGTTTGGTCCTGGTTTTCGTCCTGATTTAGACCTGGTTTAGACCTGGTTAATCCTGGTTTAGTCCTGGTTTGAGTCCTGGTTTAGTCTGGTTTAGTCCTGGTTTAGACCTGGTTTAGTCCTGGTTTAGTAGTCCTGGTTTAGTCCTGGTTTTTAGTCCTGGTTTCCTGGTTTAGTCCTGGTTTAGTCTGGTTTACTGGTTTGTCCTGTTTAGTCCTGGTTTAGTCCTGGTTTAGTCCTGGTTTAGTCCTGGTTTAGTCCTGGTTTAGTCCTGTTTAGTCCTGGTTTTAGTCCTGGTTTAGTCCTGGTTTAGTCCTGGTTTAGTCCTGGTTTAGTCCTGGTTTAGTTCTCAGGGGTCTTCTTGCTGCTCACAGAACTGACTCTTGTAGCTTTAAGTCGTGTTCTAATGTTGTTCTCTCAAAAACAGAGCCGGACTTGTGTTTTGTTTCATTTACATGTTTGAGTCACTTTTCAGTCTGTCAACATGTCCAAAGCTCAAAATGCTCTGCTAAGTTTTACCTTTAATTCAATAAAGATTCCAGCTGAAATTCTCTAAATGATTCTAGTGAAGATGCACAATGGAGCACTTCCTGTATTAACATACGACATCACAAGGTGGAACAGAGTGTTTTGTTTGAGAGACGTTTTTGAGAGAACTGAACTTAAATATGCAAAATTTGTGTTAAACAGTAAACAAACCAAAACTCCAGGTCTGTTTGTGACGAGGAAACAACATTATAACAGATCAGTCCCTTTAACAGTTTAGACTTGACTGATCTTCTGCACAGAAAAGTTTGATTAGATGGACTGGCATCATTTCAGTACAAATTGAATAAAAATAGATAATTTTTTTTAAATCTCAGAGCCCCTCACAAATCAGACCCACTGAAGGGCCACATCTGGGTAAATCTGGTCTGTTTAATTCTGTTTAAATGTAGAAGGATCTGGAACCAGTTTATAAAAGACCTACAGTGTTTCCCACAAACCATCTAGATCAGGGGTGTCAGACTCGCGGCCCCGGGGGCCAACTGCGGCCCTCAGAAGGATTTTTTGCGGCCCGCCACTTAATTCCAAAGAATAATGTCAATGCGGCCGGCGGTAGATGAACGCACAATCCCACAGATGAAGCTGCAGTCGGTGCCCATGCAGATTCACAACAACAGATTATTAATGCAGCTTTACATCCCAAAACTCAATTTAAAGCAGTTGTGAAGCAACAAGTCCAAGTGGATCTGTTAATACAAGTAGACGTGCACATACGCCGTTTTTTTCGTGCAACCGCTATTTATCGAATACTCAATGCGGCCCAGCCTCACTCAGACTTTATCTAATGTGGCCCCCAGGTAATTTGAGTTTGAGACCCCTGATCTAGATCATATATATGAATACTTTATACAGTAAAAACTTTTATCTTCAGTCTGTGGTGGCGTCCCCTCAGACGCGATGTCCCCACCCACGATCAGACGGCGAAATAATGAAACAGCATGAGTCTGTTTGGTGCATATGTCGTCTGAGAACACGTCAATTTTCACCAGCATTTTCTGAAAAATAACTCCAGTGCCCGATCATAAGGGACCTCCTCGGATTCTGGCCCATTTATTCCGCGGGGGGAGGCTGCACCGGGCCTACAGGTGCGCCCATGTAGACTGTAGGGTGACTGTGGGCGAAAGGAGCAGCCTTCGCCCAGAGGTGTGGGAGGAACCGTTTCCCATCCCACCGCGCCGCGAGCAGAGAGTCGGTCCGGAGAGCAAATAGTGCAAGTGTTTTATAAATGTTCCCCCACTGACATGTGAGAGTGTGAGTGAGAATGACAGAATCACATTGAGAAAAAAAAAAGGGGGCAGAATCACTTTGTGGAGCTCAGTTTTCATTCTGTTGCTCTGCACCACAGATCGGTCACAACACAACTGTCACAAAAAGCTGCTAATTTGTGTCACTCCAACAGGATATAGTTCCAGGCCTACGAGCCTCTGAAGGGATGTAAGGCTCTTCACACTTGTGCTCTTTGTTCAGACCTGGTTTAGACCTGGTTTAGTCTGGTTTTAACCCTGGTTTTTGCCTCTCAGGGGTCTTCATGCTGGTTTACTTTGGTTTTAACCCTGGTTTTTGTCTGTCAGGGGTCTTCATGCTGGTGGCCGGAGGGATCGTGGCCGGGATCTTCCTCATCTTTATCGAGATCGCGTACAAACGACACAAAGACGCGCGCAGGAAACAGATGCAGCTGGCCTTCGCTGCGGTCAACGTGTGGAGGAAGAACCTACAGGTGACACGTTTTTACAATTTTTATCCACAATCTTTACTGTCAGATTCTGTTTCTGAGATGTTTTTAGTGTTTTCTTTTTTGGTTTACAGCTCTTATGTGAACCAGGCTCCAACTCTGACACTGATCGCTCTCTCAAACACACATTTACTATACGGGTTTTCATTTTCAGCAGCTTTAAAGAAGTTATATTGTGCAAAAAAAAAAAATTCTAAGTTTATATTAAGTTTATAATCCGGAAGTCAGCAAACTTAAATTTTTTAAATTTTTTTTTTTATTTTTTATATTTTTATATATTTTACATTTTATATTAATATATTTTAAATTTTTATATATATTTTTTATATTTATTTTATATATTATTTTATTTTATAATTTTTTATTATTATATTTTATATTTATTTATATTATATTTTATACTGTATTTTTTGGACTATAAGGTGCATTAAGTGAAACAAAACAGTCAGATAAATCAAACTTTCAAAGAATAAATGTTTACATGATCGAGGAATAAATTAATTAAGCTTTAAAATTGAAATAAACCACCAACTTACTTCAGAATTAAGTTTAATTTTCATTAGGACTTAAGTGTTTTCATGGACTTTTTTGAGCAGAATTCATTTTTACTCTGAATTAAATTATATTTATTTGAATTTAAACCTCTCAGTTAAATGTGGCAATTGTGATTTAATTTAAAATGTCTAAAATAAAACATAAAGATCCACTGGTGTCGTAGATTATAACGAAACACTAGACAAAAGCACAATATTTCTTCTTTTCAACATTGACATTGTTGTAGTTTACATTTAGTGGTTTTATCAAAGCATTTAGCATAAATTGTAAAAACAAGCAAATTAAAAATGGTCTTGTTATACTTAAATAGTTTTATTAGTAATTAGACGTTGACCATGTTTCTGTCGATGTTTTTGGTTTGTGTTCTGGTTGGAGCTTGGTCAGAAAAGTGTTTGTTCTGAAAAGTTTGTAAAGAGTTTGTCAGATTTCAGAGTTTGTTTTGTGGAGGACAGAGCCCCAGAGGAGGTTCAGACTGAGTTTCTTTGAGCCTTTTGAGTGTTTTTAATGTTTGATCAAGTTAAACAGAGAACTGTGAGACTAAAAGTTCGTCTGCAGAGGCCCGATGTTTCACTCAAATACATAATAAATGAAGCCAAAACTCTGCTCTCCTGAGAGGAGCTTCAGTGAGGCTTGAATCCGTGAGCCGCGTCTGACCTGGATGAGTCGGACCTGCGTTTGTCTGTAGTGAATCTGCTCATTATTTAAACACTAACGTCGTCTTTTATTCATAAACGTTACATTAACACGAACTCACCTCCAGACAAAACCCTCTCACCAAATCTCAAGATGGAGGTTTTCTGTGCAAAGCTTCCATGTTTCATTTGGGTGGATTTAGGGTTAGATAAGGTGAGGACAAGGGTTTTTTGTAGTAAATATGCAGCCACAGACACGTCCCAGCGCAGAGACACGTCCCTGCACCTCGACTCATCTGAGCTCATCTAAAAAAATAGGATATTTGATGAGTTTAAATGGAAAAGCAGTGAGAAAAGCAGCCTCCATCATCGTCATCTCACATTTGACTCTTCAGATCCAGGAGTTTGTTTCTGGAGTCAAAGTTCAGGACAATAATGATGTTATAATATTAATATGACATGTTTCCTGTGCTCTGCTGAGGCGTCTCTGTGGAGAAAGATGCAGAGGAACATCTGTGGAACATCAAGTCCTGACTCATCCTTTATTACATTATTCTTATTATTCAAAGAGATTCTTTCTAAAATACATGCACATTATATTTTCAGTTTGTGTAAGCACAGAAGCTGCAGAACATGAGGCTCCTCCTCCACAGCCCCACAGCCCCACAGTTCTGTATCTGTATCTGTATCTGTTCTTTGTTCTCTGTGCTCAGTGTGCAGCTCGTGGGCTTCAGTTGGACCCGGCTCCTGTTAGTTCCAGGAGGACGGTCTGTATAATATCATGGGTGCCCTGAGGCCAGAGCAGCGCCTCCTGGTGGAGAGTGGGCGTCAGTACAAACAGTGTGGTCAGAGTGAGTGAGAGTCTGAGTGTGAATAAGTGATGTGTGTGAGCGAGAGCTTCATGTGAAAAACATGAGCAGAATCTGGCTCTGCTCTGTCTGTGTAAAACTTTAATTCAGCTGCAGGGAAAAGTGACAGGGACACCCCTGTGACCTCTGACAGGGACCTCGGAGACAGGGACTCATCATTAATACTACAGAGCCGAGCTGCAGCTGAAACACGTGAGGCCCTCAGGAGCCTCAGACGCTCCGAGCTCAGCCACAACATGAACCACAGAATCAAAACACACAGAATCAAAACACACAGAACCAAAACACAAACCTGCAGCTCTGCGTCTGTGCACACTTTACTGTGTGTGGACCACAGACTGTGTGAAAACGTGAGTGTGACGTCACCACAGTGTTCAGATCCACTCAAATGAAGCTTGTGATGCGTCGGTTACAACCGAATCTAATAGGATTTTTTGATGTACGAAACAGTGGGAAAAAAACAAAACAGAATCGCGTGTCACAGTTTAATACAAACATTTTAATAATAATAATAATAATAATAATAATAATAATAATGCATCAGTTTTATGCAGCGCAGTTTTTGGACACTCAAAGACACTTTACAGATCATTATTCATTCACTCCAGACCCAGTGGTGTAAACTACTACTGTAGCCACAGCTGCCCTGAGACAAACTGATGGAAGCGAGGCTGCCAGTCTGCTCCATCGGCCCCTCCAACCACCATCACACACACACACCACTTTCATACTAGGCAATGAGGGTGAAGTGTCTTGCCTAAGGACACAACAACAGTTTTTTACGACTGGCGCCTCCTGTGGCTCCTGATTTTAAGTCCAAAATGTCGAGTCTCACAGCAGCAGGAACAGACAGAGGAGCCACAATGTTCTAATGTGAGTCAGAAGGAGCCAGAAGAGCCGCACGAGAACTTCCTGTTTGGAACGTGGCGGCTACAGCGTTAACTATGTCCATTTATATAAACAGTCTGTGATCTGGACTCAGAGTCCAGCCCCATGAGCACAGAGACGCTCGAAACCTGAGACAAACCCGAGAACAACAGAAACAACATTTATGTCTGTTTTTATTCTCTGTTTTATTCGTCCGTCTCGTGAGCAGATCCTCGTTCTTCACCGGACCTTCTGCTCTGAGCTGCAGGACGTCGCCCCCTCCACAATCTCCCTCTCGTTATTAAATTATGTAAATCTGCTCTAATTCCGTCGCTCAGAGGATCACGGCGGCATTAGCGCCTCTGCTCCGCTCCGTCTCCGCACACGAAGCGTTTGACCCGTTTCCTCACGTGTTCCAGAGGTTTTTCCGAGCGCTAACCCTCTCCAGATGTGTCTCTCTTCACGGGTCTGAACCCAGAGCCCGTCCGGTCCAGATGTGCGGCGGCGGCGGCAGCTGCTGCTCGTTACGCCACATTAGCATGGGGCTAGTGGCTCATTAGCATTTCAAACACCAGGCGCTAACGCGGGCAGATCCGGGCTAACGCTTCATTAGCGCTGAGTGCGTTTCGGCGGCTGCGCGTTTAAACGGCGGCAAACGATAAAAACCCACGTGGGGTCAAAGGTCGCTGCAGACGAACGCAGTCAGCTCACAGTTCTCTGACGGTTTGAAAAAGAAAAGAATTATTCATGAAACTAAAGCGGAAAACAGCGAATATGGAAAAAAATAATAATATGAAGCTAGCATAGCGGCCTTATTGTTTATTTGTGCAGAAAACTGCTTTAAAGACGCATTCTGTAACTTTTCTGGTAGAGGGGCCACCACCTGCTTGTGCACATGGAGGTGGTGTTGCTTTGCTTGGAATGTTCCACAGTATGGCATTAAAAAGGGAGTATTAACTGCTAATAGATAACATGTTTAGATCAGCAGGTTCCTTTTATTGTTTTGAAAATCCAATATTCACAGAAAAGTTCATTTAACATGTTTAATGACGCTGCCTTCACGGGGTGTGGGGAAAATGAACCTTTACACTTGTGAAGTGAGTGTGTGTTGTGTTCAGGTGCTTTTGTTGTCGTAGTGAAACATGGCGGACACACAGTTTATCTGGACCTGTAATATTTTATTTTTAAATATATATATATCTATATAATAATATTTTGTGTGAGTGTGTGTGTGGTCCTGTAAACAAAGCAAATAAACAGAATATTAGAAATAGGTCAGATTAATAATAATAATAATAATAATAATAATAATAATAATAATAATAGGGATGTAAGAATAACAGAAATATGGTGATATCGTATCGTCAAAGTTCTCACAATAATATCATGGACCATCACAAAATATCGAATATCGAATTAAGTGTCTTTGTTTAAATGAAGAGTTATGATGCAGAAACAGCTAAAAAAAAACACAGAGGGAACTACACAGACCATGATCCTTTGCTCCATTTCAGTGACGAAATAACAGTTCTAACACTTTTAAGTCTTAGTTCTTTCAATTAAGTTTTGTCAAGGCATTTTAAGAAGAAAGTGTCGCATATTAACAGTTTTAGTCTCCACAAAATATCACAATAAATATCGTACAGAGAGATTTGGATATTGTTACATCTCCAATCGTGAACCTCCACATCATATCGTGAACTTTCCCACGATATCACAATAAATATCGTCCCGTGAGGTTCATACCGTGATGATATCGTATCGTGAGACTTGGATATTGTTCCTCCCAAATAATAATAACACACAACGATATAAAATAATAATAATAAACCATATGACTCAATATAGAAATAAAAAACTAATATATATGAACCAACAGGCACTCGGCAGCCACGTGAAAAAGACAGGCCTCAAAACCTCTACTACTAATGAGCTATTAATTATAATTAATTGTAAACTTCCCAATATTGCATTATTATATCAGGCTTTTGTATTTTTATGAAGATTTAATCACTCAAACGTGCGTCGGTGACTCGAAAACCTCTTCAGACAGGAAACAACT